TTAAGCCATAAGAAATGGGCGTATCACAGTCGCTTATTCTTCTCGGATTCGACTGTAATTGGTCAGTTTCTTACGGCATAAGGCATAAAACACCTATTGTAGATCCGGACTAACAGTAACCATAAGTCTGGATCTACAATAGGTGTTTTAAGCCTTAAGCCGTAAGAAATTGACCAATTACAGTCGAATCCGAGAAGAATAAGCGACTGTGATTCGCCCATTTCTTATGGCTTAAGGCTTGAAACCCTATTGTAGATCCGGACTAAAACGTACCATAAGAATTAGTTAATCACAGTCGAGAATTCTTTTGAACACTTAAGTCTGATTGGCTGATACTTACGGTACGGCTTAGTCCGGATCTACAATAGGTGTTTTATGCCTTATGCCGTAAGAAACTGATCAATTACAGTCGAATCCGAGAAGAATAAGCGACTGTGATTCGCCCATTTCTTATGGTTTAAGGCTTAAAACCCTATTGTAGATCCGGGGTAATGGTTACTGTTACCCCTGATCTACAATAGGTGTTTTAAGCCTTAAGCCGTAAGAAATTGACCAATTACAGTCGAATCCGAAAAGAATAATCCGAGAAGAATGAGATAAACTGCGATCAAGAACGTGGAAAAACCATGTGATAATGATCAATGCTAAAAACGTTATATCAATATACGTTTTTAGCATTGATCATTATCACATGATTTTTCCACGTTCTTGATCGCAGTTTATCTCATCTTCGACACAGGTATTCTATACATGAATGTTCTATAATAAATTATTAGGATCATTTTAATCTTTTGACATTTGTTAAACTATATTATTTAATTATAATATATTAAATTGAATCCAATTTCCTAATATTGTTATAAGATAACTATCTTGTTTTTTACACGTCGTATGTTATTAATTGAATTACAATTATACATATTGTCTAATAGAAATTGAAACTTTTGTGTGGACATATATTGAGAAAATTTGCTTACCTATTGATTGTGGTTCACGTATCAAGATCTGTTAGATAACCTGACTCGTATGGAACACTTTGCGTTTAAAAGGAAAAAAATCACATCTATCACTGAACTGGAATAAAACATCTGCTAGTAATGTATTAACGGATATTTGTAATATCTTAAATATTATTTATATGCGTAAGACTCTAATTTTAAGACTTAAATTGTTTATATGCGAAATATTCTAATTTTGAGAATTAATATAATACTGAAGAAGGTCTGATTCAAGACCGAAACGTTTATTTATTGTACTATATCAAATATAATATTCTTAAGCCATCTATATCAGGCGTTTGTGGTTTTATGCCTTTTTAATTATATTGTTATGAAAATGTATCTTACATAAAAAAATATGTATACAAATGTTTTAGTCCCGTTTATTCAAACAATTGAATTAATTTCTTTGGCTTATAATAGGCGTATATTAGGGCCTGAGCACCATAGAGGAACAGGGGATAGATTCTGTATTTTGAAACGAGGTGAAAATGACAAAAGTGAGCGAATTTACTAGAATACTGATCATTTTATTGGTCAACACCTAGTAAATTTGGGAGGATCCCGTTTGCCTACAGTTCTGATTGTACACACCACTTATATCAACTGGTGTCTAGTAATTTTTTACTGTTTTGCCAATGAGATTATTTTATTTTTAAATCGCCAATCAGCGATACATGTGTGCAATATGCGATGTGTGCAATCGGAGCCCTCCAGTAAATTTGCTTACTTTTGTAATTTTCACCTTGTTTAAAGATACAGAATCGACCCCCAGGAATTAGATATTAAGATTTCAACCTATCAAAAACTGATTACATCGGAGTACACAGTTTCTGATAGGTTGAAATCTTAATATCTAATTCTTGTTCCTCTGTTGTGCGCAGGCTCTTCTATTTATAATTAGAATTTAATTGCGTTTTCGGCCCGGCCGGGTTTGCACTAACCTGGGTTGGATTAATGGCGTTTTGCGCTCTCCTATTGGTAGAGCGTGTGACGTTAATCAATAGGAAAGATTAATCCAACCTAGGTTGTTGCAAACTCGATCGGGCCGAAAACGCTATAAGTATTTTTTATCCAGTACAGGGGGTTGATCCGTATCTTTAAACAAGGTGAAAATTACAAAAGTAAGAATAAATTTACTAGGTGTTGACCAATGAAATTATTAGTATTCTAGTAAATTCGCTCACTTTTGTAATTTTTATTTCGTTTCAAGATAATAATCGATCTCCAGGACATTTATATATTTTATAAATAAAAATTTTCTAAATTTAGAAAACTAATTTGATACGTATATTTAAAATTATTTAACGATTTATTATTTTTTATAACATTTTTTTATAAAATTAAGCTTATTTTGTTTTTTGTAAAATTTAATTTATTTTTTGGAATTTTTTGGTAAAGCATCTAGCGGAATTTTGAAATTTAAAGTTGGCAACACTGCGCTGTAGTGATATAATCGTATGTAAATTAAAAAAATAACATAAATAGTAAGGAAATGTCTTTGCGAAGTTAAATTAGCAAATTCCTCTATTAATTATTACATTTATATTTTATTATGTACGAACGGTGCGTTAATTAAACTTTTATGCCACAGATTAGAATGTCGAATGAAGTATGAAGCTTTTTAAATTGATAGTGCATCAGAAGAATTTCAGTGGAGAGGACTTGATCATTAATCCGAAGGATTATCCCGGCATAAAAACCGGTGATGTCGTCGAAATTTATCATCCCGAAGATGAGTTCAGTCGCTTGTTGTTGCAAGTTACCTCCTTCAAGGAAGATCTCCAGGGACGCGAAACCATCAGCGTGGAAAATAATGTAGCGTCGATGTTCCAACTGCGAACGTTTGCTGATGTTTACATGAATATAGTAAATCCGGATGATGTAGCTCTAGATTCTATAGAGTTAACTTTTAAAGATCAGTATATGGGACGTAGTGAGATGTGGCGTTTGAAAAATAGCTTGGTACTATATTCCTTTATCTTATATTTATATTTGTAATTGATTGTTTCTTCTGTATTTTGAAGTAATATGTACATAAGCTTGTGTTCTTTTGTAGGTAAACACTTGCGTATATATCAATAAGAAGATAGAGTTTTGTGGTGGTAGTATACGTTGTCAGGTATACGAAATGTGGTCACAGGGTGATCGTGTTGCTTGCGGCGTTATAACTGATGATACTAAAGTTTGTAGGAAATTGTGATATTTTATTAATATTGCCCCTTTATCTTTATTACAAAAAAATCTGATTTGCAGGTAGTGTTTCGATCTTCTACAAGTATGGTGTATCTGTTTATTCAAATGAGTACTGAAATGTGGGATTTTGATATACACGGAGATCTTTACTTTGAGAAAGCGGTTAATGGATTCTTAGCGGATTTATTTCAGAAATGGAAAAGGAATGGCAGCAATCATGAGGTTACCATAGTACTGTTCTCAAGAACTTTTTATAATGCAACCACTTTGGAGGAATTTCCAAATTATATGAGAGAGTGTTTGCAACATGATTACAGAGGAAGATTTTATGAAGATTTTTATAGAGTTGCAGTACAAAATGAAAGGTTTGAAGACTGGAGTAATATCTTGGTACAGTTACGTAAACTATTCACTGATTATCAAAAAATTGTTTTGGAATATCACCAAAAACCAGGTATTAATATGCCTAAGGCAGTAAATTCTACTGCTGCACAGGGCAATTTTCTGGAAGTGTTAAATATGTCTCTGAATGGTAAGCATTAAGAGCAAAAAAATAACATTGTAATTTATGTATCTATTTTGTATCTTATATTTATGATATTTTGTATTTCTATCTATCCATGTCTTTACAGTTTTTGAGAAACACTACTTGGATCGCAGTTTTGACAGGACTGGTCAGTTATCTGTAGTCATTACACCTGGAGTTGGAGTCTTTGAAGTTGATAGAGAGCTGACAAATGTGACAAAGCAAAGAATCATTGATAACGGTGTAGGAAGTGATTTAGTATGTGTTGGGGAACAACCACTTCATGCAGTTCCATTATTAAAGGTACTATAAGTCTAAATATATATATACATTTAATAAAATATATATATGTGTGTATAATTTATTTATATATATGCAATATTTGATTCTAGTTTCATAATAAAGACTCTTCTATAAATGCACCAGATGATTATAGCATGCCTCACTGGATAAATCTTAGTTTCTATTCCACAAATAAGAAGATTCCTTATTCCACATTTATACCACGAATAAAATTGCCGCAAAAGATATCGAAACATCTGACAGATAATGACAAATTACATTGCAAAACCAGACTTTTGCAGGAAGATCCAAGAGAATGTCTACATAATACATTATTCGATTATGATGCTTATGATGCACAAGTGTTTCAATTACCCACAGTTCATACTTCAAGGTAAATAGACTAAATACATTATTGTTTAGCATCACGTGCTTATATATCTAGCTTAATAAATTCGAAATATTTGTTTTTAATATGATTTGTTTTTTTAAATAATATTTTCTTTTTTTTTTCTTTTCGACAATATTTGTAACGTAGAAATATAAATTATGGTAAAATTCTGCATAAATGCACGCATGCACATGTACGTGCGCGTTTATATACACGCACACACGCACACGCACACACACACAATAGATAAATCTAATCATTGTTATTTTATTGAATTAATATATATATTTCATTGTCGTTTCTTTCAATCATTTAGTGTACAAAGATTAAATACAAGAAGGAAAAAGACAAGCGTAGTGTGTCTTGAAACTCATAATAATGGCTATTTATTAAAGCTCTTAAAACGTAAAATGTCGGATCCTGATATACATCATCCACCACCTGAAACACATTCACCGCCAATTCTTGCATTACGTAGTGCTGCGATAACGATACCACATAAAACTGATGACGGTAATATCGAATCTAATGAGGATAGAACTGGTAAGCACATAAATGTTCAGTAATAATTTTTATATTATTAAGATATTTATTAAATAGTTTCGATAATTGCAGATGTATCCAAAACATCAGTTAAAAGCGATTTAACTGACTCTGAAATATCTCCACCTTTTAGACCTGTTGTTGGTAGTGCTGGTAGCCCGACAAACTCAATTTCTCAGCCAACGAATATACTTAGGCCTGGTAGAGCATTAATCAATCCTTTTGATCCATCACATGTTACCATTAAACTTACCAGCAACAGACGACGGTGGACTCATATATTTCCGAAAGGTATTATTATTTGTTTTATACCATTATTATTCGTTTCATAATATACAGAGTGTCTCAAATAAATGATTAAACTTTGGGAGTATGTAGGGGATCGATAAACTAACAAAAAAAAAGTCCTTTAGAGATGTATTCATTTTCCCTTCGTTTTGGAGGAAATCGTAAAAAAAGACAACGTACTTTTCATTTTTGTACATATTTATTATAAATAATATTATAAATAATATTTATTATAAATAATATTATAAATAATATTTATTATAAATAATATTTATTATAAATAATATTTATTCATTTACACTTATTTATTTATGTTGTCACTTGCTTAATGTTGATATTGTTTAAAATGTTGGCCTCTTACAGCAATGCACGCATCTTGTACGGACAGCTCGTGTTGTAGCCGAACACTGATCTGGTCAACATAATGATTTGTTGATCCAGCATTCTTCTGTCTGAAAGTCGGCACGCATACCCTTGCACTGCTTCTGAAGTCTGAAGCATTATTGTTGAAGTCGTACACGAAAACAATAATGTCGAGAGACGGAATTGTGACTGTAGTGCATGAAATATGATCAGATCAGTCTTTGGTTGTCTATAGTAAATGCAATGCTTGCATTGTTGTAAGAGGCCAACATTTTGAACAATATGTACATTAAAAAAGTAACAATATGAATAAATAAATGTAAATAAATAAGTAATAAGTACAAAAATGAAAATTTTGTACGTTTTGTAATTTTCATTTTATTTTTTTTTTTGCGATTTTCTCTAGAACGAAACGAAAACGAGCATATCTGTATATATATAAAGGACTATTTTTAAAAATCGATTTTCTAAACGTTCCCGAAGTGTGACCATTTAAATTCGGGACACCCTGTATAATAATTTATATTGGTAAATATAATTTATTCATATGTAAATGTGTTATTCATATACAAGGTAAACATCAGAAAGTTGACGAAATTAAAGCTGTTATTTCTTTATTGATAGAATGGATAGAACATTTATTAAATGTGTGGACATATGAATTAAGGGTTAACCCTCACCGTGTATACAGGGGCCATTTGTGTCCAGGCGATTTTTATAGTTCTAAATATTTTGAAAACAAGTGAATACAGGCGCGCCATTTTGTTCTTAAAAAAAATTATGGAGTGGAGGAAGATATCCGTGAAAGCCCAGCAGTAGACATCATTTTTTCGCTCAGCAGTGGATATTCAAAATCGAGCGAGGACACAAATAACTCTTGTATACATTCAATACATATTTGTCGTACGAATAAGAAAATGATTGTTTTCACGTTTCTTGATTATTTTTATAAGTAAAACACACACATACATATATATATATATATGTATAAAACAAAAAAATATTTGTTCAATGTTTTCTTAGGATAAAAATGTCAAATCGCTCTGCAGAAAAGATGACATTATAAGAGAACGATTTCTTCGTTCTCTTACAATATCATCCCGTATGTATTTTTTTATTTACGAAAGTGTATGAGATTATAGATTTTGAATAAAAAATGAATTTTTTAAAGTTATTAAATGTCATTTTTTTACAAGAACGCTTATTTTTATAAATTTCGAAATTGTAAGACTTTATGTTCCAAACTTAAGCATTTAAATTAAAAATAATTTGTTGGCATATATATATATATATATATATATATATATATAATATATATACACGGTGTCCCATTTTAAATGACAACCTCAAATTTCTCTTGAATAGTACATTTTAGAGAAAAATGTTTCAAACAAATGTTTTGTGACTTCGAGGGGGACATAAAATGGTATCATTGGTTT